TGGGTGTTCGAGGACAACCTAGATTCTAGCATGCTTACCAGTTTAAGAATGGAAGCCCTCGTCATTCTGTACCTTGAAAATATTACAGCGTCATTGCAAACATCAAGAACACGACTACGGTCTCGAAATATCCTCTCAGGGCCAAATTTCTGTGTCCTCTGTTTATGAATTACAGCAAACGCCGCCATCTTGTTCATACACAACAATCGATCGTAAGTAAGTTACAGACGGTCAAAAGCAACTTGAGGAAGTGATTGTAACTTACAACTATTGTAATTTACAATTGCTTTGAGGAACGGTGGAGTGATTGTAAGTTAAAGTTACAATTGGATTGTAGTGATTTACAACTATTGTAGTGTTACAATCGCTTTGAGGAACGGGGCCAAGGATGGCAAATTACTCTAGCACGTCGGATGAGGGTGGCAATGATGGCTTGTTTTATCTTGGGTGATGTCAGGAGTGTCATGGAGGTACTGGTCTGTATGTGTAGGCTTACGGTAAACAAATGTTCCTTGCCCATTTTCTGTTGTTGGGAGAGACACATCTAGAAAGGGAAGGTGTAGATATGTGCATATATCCATTTCGTCGGGTGGAGAGTTTTACGAGAAACTCATCATCGTTAGTTCGAATTCCAGTTTCCCTCCCAAAGTGTAAACCGTCTAAAACATACATTCCTTAAGGAATTCCTCCCCCGGGTATCTGCCTCCATACGCCTAAAGTATTGTTCAAAGCGAGCTCGAGGTTATATTATAACACACATGCATTCGCCAATTTCCAGTGTGATTCCCCAATCAAACCTACGAGATGTGAAAAAGGTGATTTAACTTGACAGAGTGTGTTTTTCCAAGCAGAACAAGCACAACACATTTCTACATGCAGTTCTGAGTAACCAGTTAAAACGATCTCAAAATATAAACTTGGTCCCTTTTCCATCCATCTTTAGTCACCGCTTTGCGGTTGTGTGCATGCATGGCAATTAATTAGAAAACAATTTTCTAACGTACGAATATAATGACTGAGTTTGGTTTTACGCCGCTTTTAGCAATATTCCAGCAACATCACGGCGGACGAATATAATGACACACTTTCTGTCAGCATTGTCACGCAAAATCTGTTCTTATGATAAAAAATAACACAACTCCAAAACACGCGTTTTGGGATTAGGCCTATATCTAAATTCAAATGAGTAGAAATGATTTGGCGGTCGGGTGTCAGAAACCGAGGGGTTTTGTCAGCACTTTTCGTCATTAACCCCCTGAATGCCATCCTCGATAATCTCCAGGGTATACGTTACGATCACTCTCCGCTATACCCTGGATGCATCCACGGCTTGGCCCGATAATTATGTTACCTCCCTTGGCTGGCTCCGCATTCTCACAGTAGCCAATCAGCTAAGCCGCCGTTACATCCGAGCTTGCCAATGTCAACAAAGATAGCGGTCGCAGTCGCGAAGGTTTGTTCGCAGTGCCACTCAGATTTTTAGGAAATAATTCAGACAAATTGACAGATCTGAAACTTTCAAAAAAATATATAAAAGAAAGCCTAGCTTCTACCTCTTTCAGAGTACCCCTGCATCAACTGTGTTGCCAAGTTTAAACGGTTAGATAATTTAAGAAGCGAAAGTGATTTGTGATTGGTTCGCTTAACTTCCCAGCGTAGACACCTGATTGGATAAAAGCCAGCCAAGGGAGGTAATATAAATATCGGGCCAAGCCGTGGATGCATCCAGGGTATGGTGGAGTGTGATCGTAACGTATACCCTGGAGATTATCGAGGATGCCTGAATACCAGAGGGACATATATGTCCCTCTTCTTCAAGTACCTACAAGTACAATTAATTTTTTAAAAATATCAGGCACACAAATACACTTCACAGTTTTTAATTCTGTGGGAAATTTCCTTTATCGTGATACCAACAACTTATAATTAAGGCAAGAATACTGAATGGCCTTTCAATATTAGGTACATCGCAAATGTCGACACATGTGACGCATTCACTGCGTTATTTGGTGTATTTTGAAATGTAAAAAATAGGATTATTACTCTAACGATTGAATTTCGAAACTATCATTCTAATGAAAGTGACGGTTGAAGATGAGAGACATGTCCTTCATTAACCCAACTCACATGCTCATCCACGCTTGTATGGCAACGTTAGGGGCCATTGAACCTCAGTAATTACAGCAAGATACAGCAAGATAGTGTATGGTGAAGTGACTGAGGAGTTACGCCGCTTTTAGCAACATTCCAGCTATATCACGACAGGGGACACCAGCAATGGGCTTCACGCATTGTACCCATGTAGGGAATCGAACACGGGGTTTCGGCGTGACGGGTATGGTGAAGTGAATCAAGGAAAGAGGGCTGTTGTGATATGTGACAATATTTATTACAATAATTACACATTAGTCGATCTATGTACTGTACACGGACATGATGATATCTTTCCTATTTCCCTCGTTATCCTTTGTGCGACTCTGTACCATTGAAGGTTATGTTGCGTGAAGTTCAGGGTCACTTTCAGGGTAGATAACTCTTATTTCACTTCCTGAGTCCCTTCTTTCGCCAGGCTCTGGGCTAAGTGTAAGACACAGTTGGGCTTTCATTCATTTCCTTCAACACGTTTTCCATGAATCGTACGTCCTCTCGCAGTGATCTCTCGAGATCTTTGTACATTTGCATCACCGCTACATAGATTTCCTCTCTTATGCATGTCTTGAAAAACGTGGACGCTGCCATCGCCTCTCTAAAAAATCCAAGTCGGTCACCAAGCTCACGGGTATATTCCCCACAAAAATCCGTTTCCATGATATTCCTCTCCAAATGCGTGCAAAACTGTTCCAGTTCGCCATGAGTATCCTTTCTGGTGGGATTCATCATCAAAATGGCCAGTAAAGCACTGTTAAAACGTTCGGGAAGGCCTATGTATATAAACAGCGCGGAGTCGCATATACACCTATAGGTGTCAATGGGTAGCTGAATCCTGTCAAAGAGTAACCCAATAGTAGTAAGGGTACTTAGAATGAAGGACTATGTAGTTGTTTAAAACTGGTCTGCATGTACACATGTCTGAATATGTGGATGTGCAGTTGAGCTGTACATAACACCATTCTAATTCATGTTGAATCGGTTTTGTATTTATATCAAAGACGTGTCACTTATAAGTCGGGAGTAAATGTCTCATGTTCATTTACAAGCGTGCATGTTGACAAACACTTAAACGCGTAAATTAGCAGAGGCGCACATGTGTTTGGACAGTGTCATCGTATGTAAACAAGCGAGAAAATTGTGAATGGTAAACCAAAATGGCATTCAATCAGTAAAGAAGCTGTTGTGTCCCGCCTGGTGTTACAGTAAACAAACAATGTATGTCGCCTCCAGACATATGCTTCTGAAACAACACCTCTAATTAAGAGAGCTCAGAACAGGTATTTGTTCATCTAAAATATGTCGATAAGCACTTGTGTTGTCTGATAAAATATACATCATGTTTCTATAGCCTTTTCACTTTGGTTAATAGTGACACTGTGATAGGCATGCCAAGTTGTTCACTGAACCAAGAACAAGCAACACCAGCTGGACGAGCGACCCGCCACGCTGACTAGCACGTTGCACCTAATCGCGTCTTTTATATGGGGATGCTCTTGTTGTATTTTAATCTTTACAAACTGAAATGAAATCCCTGAAACGTTATTGTAATGAGTGTTTGTTTAATATGCTGTTCATTCTAAAATCTGAAATAATATTTTATTTTGTGCAAGTGTTTACAACATATACTAATTTATATCTTACAATACGTCCAGCCAGTTAGACAGCAGCAATCTAGAACGAAAGTGCTACTTAATCCCCATTGTTCTAGACATTATCTCTGTCTGTTGATCTTTATATGAGACAATACCGTCCTGCAAAGTGAGACCAACCCGTCTGGATAAGATAATCCAGTGACTGGCTCCAAGAGAATCGATCTACACCACAGGAATTCGATAATACTTCATACCAGTGAGCAAGCCCAACAAGCCGATCCCGTTAGTCGCTTTTTACGGTAACTCTGGGTTGCCGAAGATCAAGCAGTTTGTAGGACTTCATAGATCTATGAATACACAATGTCATTTCGAAAGTGGTCCAATATAACATATGTTTTATTTGAGATTACACTTTTTCAGTAAAGTACCGATTCTAGTACTTTTTAAGTTAGGTTGAGTCCCATCCGGGAATTGAACGCACACTCTATGATGATGAATTATGGGGTCAAGAAAACAATGATACAATAGAGGAGGTATATCTAAGAGTTTTAGGCGTAAATTCCAACTATGGGGAATGTTGGAGGGACCCTAAATATACTTGGTTGCATAAAAGTAAACAAATATTGGATAGAATTGCTAAAAATGCTAAGGAACAGATTCAAAATTAATGATATACTCCAATCTTGCAGGTATGCTTACTTTCGATATTCTAGAGAACAACATGTAACAGAACCAGATCATTTCATATGTATTCTAAGACAAAAGGTTAAAATATATCTTTTCAAAAATTGTACTCATCTCAATGTTTACATAATTTGTTAAATCATTGCGCTTGTTTTAAGTCATTCATTCACACTGAGAAATATCTTTTAGACAGAAATCCCGTTTCTGTTAAGAAATGTGGTTTTGTCGAGATTGATGTCATATTTACTTGACACTTTATCGGATTGTTCGATATGAACTATCTACGTAAAAAGATTACTGCAGTACCGGTAGACAGTGCATGTAGATATATCTATTGCGTTTGCTTAATTTGATTCTTTTGAAAGGACAATCGATACGAAGTGATTATTTTACAATCAGTTTAAACTATGTGCAGCTTATATGATTTTGGAACCGCGAAGTCATCACAGTGCGGCCCTGGCCTGTCCAAGCCAGCTGACGACCGGGCACATGGGAGTTAGTAACACGTTAAGTGAAAGAGTTTGCTCCCTTGAGAGGAAGTTGTTTGCTCGCCACTGTCCGATTGTTGCCAAAACAATAATGGCGGTGGTAAGCACTCGGACCGTTCACCAAGAATATAATATTGCTGAGCAGGAATTGCAGGACCGGTTAGCGTACATTTACGGAGCCAAAGAAAATGAAGTTGATTTATTTCGGTGAGTAGTATAGATAAACTTTACAGTTTGTGAAAATATCTGGCAACTTTAACACATTCAGCGACAGCGCAACTGTTTGTCAAGTAGATTGGACGAACATTCTTACTGGGCGTACCTATTTTTAATACGGCGGTTAGTTTTTACCTAGACGTGTGTGTTTTCGAGTTTTGCTACATTGCATAGAACTTCGATCGTGGGTGAAGAATCGGATGACACACGGGCACTTATGGAATGTGACGTCACAGATCTATGACGTGTCTTTTGACGTCACAGATCCATGACGTACATTTGACGCTTTCCACAACTGTGATGAACCGGATGTGTATGACATAGAATTTTGTGTGTAGAACTGAGACTTACGATCATACATGATGTCTGCAGCCAAAAGAATTTTAGAAGGGCTCCCTTTGTACCGATCAGTTGGCACTGGATCAAAGTACTTCAATATCTCACTTTGCTTTTTTACTGATATGATTTACTGTAATGTGAAAATGTACATTTTTTATGTCATGAGTTTAGTTTTAGATTGGATATATTCTTTATGATTTCAAATGTCATCTCTTCTCTCTTCATTAATCAGAATGAACTTTAGTAACCCATGCTTGTCGTAAGAGGCGACTAACGGGATCGGGTAGTCAGGCTCACTGACTTGGTTGACACATGTCATCGGTTCCCAATTGCGCAGATCGATGCTCATGCTGTTGATCACTGGATTGTCTGGTCCAGACTCATTTTTTACAGACCGCCGCCATATAACTGGAATATTGCTGAGTGCGGGGTAAAACTAAACTCACTCACTCTTCATAAATCAGTCTATGTACCTTTTGATGAGTTATCATGTTGCATTTCTTTTCATATATTCCTTTTGAAATATTTCAGGCCAGCTTTGGCAGACCAGCAGAAGATTGGTTTCTTCAGTCTGGACCGTGCATCACAAACAGAAATCACAGAAGTTGTTGACCTCAAAGAGATGACAGAAGTTCTGCAAGTCTTGTTACAAGTAATTATATGAATTTAATCATGTGTTTCTGTTATTAGTTATCATGAACATTTAATTTTTTAATTATAACAATGTTGACAATGTCAATTCATGAATAGCTATTAAAAGTTACCATGATTCCAAGCACTGTTCACAATTTGTGAAGATCAAGCCAAAAATGTGATTTTTGGTAACACATGTTGCTTTAAACTTGCATGTAAGTCCTAACCCCCCAAATCAACTTGTGGTTCCAATCACCCAACCAACCCTATAAAATGCTTCTGACCATAATGTCCTTTTCTCTGTTTTCATGTGATATCGGCACCACCGTTGTTTTATTGCCAGTTTCCCCAATTGCAATAAAACTCATATAATCTGTGTCAGTAAACATTTTGATAACTCCATGCATCAGTGCGAAGGTTCAATTTTGCAAAATAATTCTGCTGTGTGCCGTGTATTGAGTTAGAAATTTGCGTGTATGATAAATGTCTATGTTCCTTTAATACCCAGGTGTTCTGCTTGCACACACTGGAGGAATTTCCAGAATTAATGATTGGCAAACGATTTATACAGTAGGCAACTTAGGCAAGCTATCGTACAATATGAGCTGTACTGTGTACATCAAAATCGTTGGTAATGAAGCAATCATCAATTATATACTAATCTGGGCATGTGTAGATTGAATGAAACCTACCCTCAATGGTTAGCAGTTGATGTCATCTTATATCATTCACTGATACGGAATGCAGTTATCCTGTTCACAAATGTTTTGTTCACGTAGGATGTAGCTGCACTAAGGAGAGATATCAACTTCACTAAGCATGTGATGCAGGCTGATTATGAATCTAAGCTGAAAGAGAAGTCACTAGATCTGTGAGTATGTTCTAGTTAGTCTGACAAAAGTACAAAATGTGCATGTTTATTATTATGTTTTCAAGCACAGACAATCAGATCACAATTATGAATGTTAATTAATTTCTCTTTTTTCTGTTATTGTTTGCTTTCAACAATTAATTGCCTTTAGTTTGTTTAACATAAAGTTAGTCTGACGAAAGTATGAAATGCGCATGTTTATAATGATGTTTTCAAGCACTGACAATCAGATCACCATTATGAATGTTGATTGATTTGTCTTCTTTATGTTATTGTTTGCTTGCAACAATCAATTGCCTTTGGTTTGTTTAAGATTAATATACATTACTGTACAGGTAGTGTGTGGAAAAAGTTATTCATTTATGATGTAGACAGGGAAACTTGAACACTTCTATAAATGTTCATTTACGGCCATGCTTGTCTTGTTGCAAAACCTTGCAGCTGATGTTGTTTTAGCCTTTATACACACAAAGTCACCATGAAATGAATTTGAAATTTGTCATAGGTATTGCCGAATAAACGAGCGTGTGTCGGAGCTGGAGAAACTACACGAAGATGTGAGTACAAACATGGCATTTGTTGTATATTCCGGAGTACTGTTGTTTAATAATGATGTCAGCAGTATTCTGGTGATCTCATGATGGCCTGTAAGTAATCAAGCCTGGACCAGACAAACCTGTGATTGATATACTGAATTAATATAACCTTCAAAATCACAAAGACAAGAATTTTGTCTTACCATGCCTACCTCATTAACTCTTACCAAGTTAATCTTTCAAGTTTCTCAAGATCTGACAACCTGTCTATAAGAAGTCCTGTTAGGTGAACTGTCTGTTCAATCAGTCGGTGTAGAGGCTACTGTTGTATTGGTACACGCAGCAAATCTGATTTCTGATTCTCAAACATGAACCCAAAAGATAATATTCTGTTCTGAAACAAATCCCTGAAAAGAACTCATGCAATTATATCAAACTGTATGCTAATATGCTGTCTATGTTTCAGAGAGTGAATACCGTTCGTAAAGCGTATCGTCAACAGCTGTCAGATGCAATTGCAAGAGTCTCCGTCCTGTACAATGTAAGGAGAAGTTGATTTGTCTAAACATATAATCACTGAAGTATTTCCTCAGCTGTGTTTTGAGAGTACTTGTTTTTCTATGTTTTAGATCACTGTTAATGTCTAGACAAGTGAGCAATAGTTCCTGTAGATGTGTTTCTGTATGCAAGCAGACCAGTGGTAGAAAGCATGAGCAACATCTAATACTGTAAGGTATTGATGAGATGCATTGAACCAGGTAATACTCTGTTACCACCTGACCTTTGTTTGGAACCACCTCTGTTTTCTAGAGCGTCTACCCAGAGTAAGGAAGGTCAGTGTTGCAACCCATGGCTGTATCGTACTGTGATATGTCAAACAGATGGTGCTTGTTGTTTGTTACCCTGCCTGGTGCTCAGCATTAAGGGGATTTATTACCTGCGAGGGCGAAAATATCGGGCTTCATATTATTTACACGATGCCCAAGGGCAAAATATCACTTTGTCATGGTGACATGACGTCATGAACAATGCTATGACATCACGTGTCTTTTGTGACATTGCGTTCTAAATGCGGCGACAGTGGGTAGCCAGCATATGCTTGAAAGTAGATTTGGGTTTATTTTCCATTAATTTGAAGACTTTGGTAATAAACAGAATATTATATTCGTGCCCATATCACACTATTTCTCGCTCGGGAAATACCAACATAAACATAGTATGATATGGGCACTCATATAATATCCTCTATATAACAGGGACTGGTCAGCATGGTGTTCAGTCAAACTAGTCATTTATATAGCGCCTGTTTCCATTCTCTGAAAGTCTGCTCAAGGGCGTTTAGAGGAGCTATGACAAAAAGTTTTCAGTTGTATGCCATTTCAAAGAAGTGAGTTTTCAAACTAAACTTGAAGTCGTTGAGTGCCTGAATGTTCCTGAGGTTGTCTGGGATTGAATTCCACAGTACGGGACCAGCCTTGGAAAAGCTTCTGTCAGTGATGGTATACTGTGTCTGAGTGGGGTATCCATGTCAAACACATTGTGTTAACATTATGATACCGTCACTCGTCCGGGCCATATTGCTATAGTATCACAATATTGAATGTGACTACAGCAGTACTGTTTCTGTGTTTGTATCTATGTTGCAGTAGTACTGCAATTTGATTGTAGTTATAGCAACACAGTAATAAAAGCGCCCTGAAAATACCAACCATTATGACCTTTGCATAATCATTGCCATTCTTTAGCTAAATTTACTCTGTTAATCCTGTCCTCCACTATTTATATATTTGTTTTTACTGATATTATTTACATGCATAATATTACCAAGAGCAAGTTGAGAACATTACTGCCAGTCAGTAAGAGACATGCTTTCAGTTCACATAACAATAAGACATCCTATTGACAATAAGACATACAGACCGAAATCCTGTTTCCGATCAATGTGTTCGGGTACTTGTACTGATAGATTACTCTTTTTCACATGGAATAATTCTTTAACCCCAATAATTATTCCAAAGCTTTAATTGAGGTTGCCCCCGATACTAATCCCCTATAGAAGATAGACCCGCAGTTTCAATGTAATTCATATTTTCAATGTTTCTGTCTTTCAGAAAAATCTTGAGCGAAAAATGAAGTCAGAGCGGAATAAACATAATTTAGGCGCCGGTCAACTGGAGGAGAAGTACCGCGAGATGCAACAGACCATTCAGAGGAATGAGGCGGTGATACATATGCTCAAACTTCAGCTCTCTCAGCATCAGCAGCAGACCGCGGTGGACGACAACAGGGTGAGAGTTGTCTCCCTTCAATATTCTCTTCATAATGAACTTTTCACTGCATCATGCATTTTGTCCTCGGAACTGATCAACATTTCATCTAAACCTATCTACCGAAGTTAAACATGCACTATAGATAAACATAGTTTGCAGTATAGTTTTCTGTTAGTTGGCACAATACTTTACTTGTAACTGTACTTTGAAGTCATACAGTTAACAATGTTAGAGAATTTCCTTGTATGTCTCTATAGTCAAGTATGACTTTGGAGGAGTAGTAATACATATGCATCTAGCACTGTAGAATGCACCATCGCCTTGACTTACTTTAGATCTGAACATGCTATTTCCCTCACACAATACTATCAGCCCCCATGTATTCCTCAATTGTGCACTTGCAGAATATTTTGCAGAAATTGCCACTCAATGCAGAAATGTGAATGTCTTGCAGAAAATTAGTTATTGTGCAGAACTTGTTCAGAATTTTGCATTTATTCATCTCAGAATTTGTCCATTACACTCAGGAATGTTATCATGTGAGCTGACAGCCAGTACTAAACAAGAATGAGTTGCATGGATGTACTGGAATAAATCATTACAGATAAATATGTCATGTGTTTATGTGGAAATAGGAGAAAAGAGTTTTCAAGCAATGTTTTGAACAATTTGCATTTTGAAAATTGGTTAAGGGAAGTAAATATTCTGATTTCATGTGAAAGTGAACTTTATTATTGTATTATTTCTTACAGTTCAAAGTGAACAAAGTAAATGTGGCCAGAAGCAAACTAGGAAATTCAAGAAAGCTTTGCTGAAATGTTGCTGAATGTTGTGCAGAATTATAAAAGAAATTGGTTGCAGCATTGATAAGCGCTGACCACAAAACATCTATGTTTTCGTAATGTGTTGTGCAGCCCAAACTGTCAAATAGGCTGCCTCAATGCTTCAGAGGTCATTGCTTGATTACCACTGGTTTGTTTGCTAGATGAAAATAACGTAATGGCAAGGAATGAGTCACAGATTTGAACATCAATGAGTTTTCTTGGTGCTACATTTTTGCAGCAAGTGTCAAGGTCGGAGATGACCCGTAGCGGTACTGACGTCACTCCTACCCTGCTGGTAACACTGTGATCTCACACTCCTGTACATGATTGTGTTCTGCTGCTGATCTATAATGACCCCCTAACAACTGTTTACAGTGCAGACACTGTGGTTACACATACTACTGATCTATAATGACCCCCTTACAACTGTTTACAGCACTGTCACCCTGGTCTACACAGTGACATACTCCTGATGTATAATTTTCCTCAAACAACTGTTTACAGTGTTGTGATCATGGTTACTATTAATCTATAATGTTCCCCTAACAACTGTTTACAGCTCAGTCACTCTGGGTTACACATACTACAGATCTATAATGTTCCCCTAACAACTGTTTACAGCTCAGTCACTCTGGGTTACACATACTACTGATCTATAATGTTCCCCTAACAACTGTTTACATCTCAGTCTCTCTGGGTTACACATACTGCTGATCTATGGTGTATCCCTAACAACTGTTTACAGCTCAGACACTCTGGTTGCAGTATTACATGTATGCACCTCATTTAACAATTGTTATCTCCCTTCTTTCACGTTTTGTCTGTATGTCCACTTGTTGGTTTTTTAACATCAACATCTCATTCTTTAAAAGGGAATTTGAGTTATGTATAGCAGTCCTGGCAAGGACACTTGATAATTGGAAACATTGTTGATAGCTGGAATCATTAATGAATTTTGATATGAAAATTGTGTCATTGATAATATCATCAATCTTTGCTTTTCTGTGATCCATGCATCAATGTGTCATCACTTACCAGTAACATGCAATATGTTGATTTCTTTCAGATATTTTCTCCTCAAAGTTACTTCTCTAATGTTTCTATAATCTATCAATATGTAGTGAACGTTTATCCATCTCTGTCATCTATATCAATAGCCAGACCTAGTTTTATGCACTTCTGTGGGGATGCTGGATTACAATTATAAAGTTACACAACAACAAAAAAACACAGAAAATAATACATGCAAGCATACTACATCATCCTGTACAAAATGAAAATAGAATCAGTGAGAGTGAGAGTCTCAGGGGGTTACCAAAGTAGAACTGATTCAGTTCCAGTCATTATTAATCTGAAGTGTTTCTTTTCACATTACAAGTGCTTTGAAATCCATGTCAGATTTCCAACACTCAAGAAGCTTCATTTCCAACCAGGAAATGTATAATTAGTGTTGGACTTCTGATGATGTGCAGTGCTATAACTTCAGTAAAATTCTTTGGCATCAACAGTGATATGGCAAATCACCAGCCTGGAGAAGTAGGTTACAGTGGGTCACAGTAATATTCTAATCCCAACGGGTACCCACTGGAGTCTGGATGAACAGTCAAAAAAAAGGATGAAAAACTAATTTACATACTTGCGTTTGGGTTGTTGACCTGTTAGTATAACTAATTGAGCTTGGCCCTGGTCATATAGAGTGTTGTATGTATGTATTATTCAGATGGCGGTACTGATAACAAGGAGGGAGGGAGGGAGACATCATGGGTGGCCCTGTGCAGAGTTGTGTCATGTGATGTGACCCAATTCCTGATTTCTTTTACCCACATGGGGAACTTTGGGTAACACATTATCAGGAAAACAACCAGCCCACTCGGCCCCACCCACACCTCAGTGATTTCAGAATCTCATGATTACTCTCTGCTTTAGCTTGACGAGGAATCTCTACACTCTCGCACTCCGGGAGTGTCGGCAGAGGAAGTAGAAGAACTCCAAAACCAGATGAGGAAAATGGAGAAGAAGGTGGATCGGCTAGAAGAAGCACTGGACATCAAGGATGAAGAAACAATGCAGCTCAGTAAGTCTAGACAGGCTGTAGAAAACAAATCAGCAGACTGTAAGGGAAAGGTCAGTAGGCTGTAGGGATAAAGTCAGTAGGCTGTAGAGGTTAAAGTCAGTAGGCTGTTGGGATAAAGTCAGTAGACTGTGATGGAAAGTCAGTAGGCTGTAAGGATAAAGCAGCAGACTGTAAGGGAAAGGTCAGTAGGCTGTAGGGATAAAGTCAGTAGGCTGTAGAGGTTAAAGTCAGTAGGCTGTTGGGATAAAGTCAGTAGACTGTAGGGAGAAAGCAGCAGATTGTATGGAAAAAGTCTAGACTGTAAGGGAAAGGTCAGTAGGCTGTAGGGATAAAGTCTGTAGACTGTAAGGGAAAGGTCAGTAGGCTGTAGGGATAAAGTCAGTAGGCTTTAAGGATGAAGTCTGTAGACTGTAAGGGAAAGGTCAGTAGGCTGTAGGGATAAAGTCAGTAGGCTGTAAGGATAAAGTCAGTAGGCTGTAAGGATAAAGTCTAGGACTAAGGGAAAGGTCAGTAGGCTGTAGGGATAAAGTCAGTAGGCTGTAAGGATAAAGTCTGTAGACTGTAAGGGAAAGGTCAGTAGGCTGTAGGGATAAAGTCAGTAGGCTGTAAGGATAAAGTCTGTAGGCTGTAGGGAAAAGTCAGTAGGCTGTAGGGATTCAAAGTCAGTAGGCTGTAGGGATAAAACAGCAGACTGTAGGGAACAAGTCAGTAGGCTGGGAAGAAGGCAGTTGGCAGCAGTTAGAAAGTCAGAAGGCTGTAGCAAGAAAGTATAGGGTGAAGTCAGTAGGCTTTAGGGAGAAAAGTTTAGGCTGTATGCAAATACTTCACCAACCTGTGAATTCATGTTATACTCTTTTGATATCAGATGTCAGTAACTGACTTCCACTTTTAAGCCCAAAGCCTTGTCCCTCTTTTACAGACAAGGAGGTGGATACCCTCACAGAGCAGATTGAGAAGCAGAACATGTTGGTGGAGCAGGTGAGTGTCTGGACTACTGACCATATATGCTCTATCCTCTTTCTTCTACCCATGATCCTTTATCCTCCCACATTGATACCCTGTTCTGTATTCCCTGATGAGCGTTCTGTATTCTATATCTGACATTTTTCATCCTTCATCATGTCAGTACTTGGCTGATTTAAGTTAGATAGAATCGATGGAGTTGATTGGTCCTTATTCTTTCTTGCCTGGTCCTTTTCATGACATAATAAGACCGGGACGGTGGAGTAGCCTAGTGGTTAAAGTGTTTGCTCATCACGCCGAAGTCCTGGGTTCAATACGCCACACGGGTACATTGTGTGAAGCCCATTTCCTGTGTTCCCCGCCGTGATATTGCTGGAATATTGCTAAAAGCGGCGTAAAACCCAACTCACTCACTCACTCACTCATAATAAGACCCTTGACGTGGCACATTGTGATCTTTGCTGATCCCTGTTTGATGAAAATCAAATGATTAATCTATGAGCTGTAATTCAATGTCTCCTTTTCTCATTTCAGTTGAAGCATGAAAAGAAAGAAATGAAATCATTTGCTGAGCAGGACAAGGCATCGTCCAAACGGATGGTCAGTATTTGTTCACTGTAGGGATGTGGACTTCTCGGAACTTTTGTTGTTAAATCACTTTCTGTTTTATTCATTGTTTCATATTTGTCACTTTGTTTTCCAAAATGTCATAGAGGTAGTGCAATTAGGAACTGGAACTTTCATCTTGATGAGTGTGTTTGATATCAGCTATGTTATTGTACGGTTTATCTTGTCAGCTGAAACTGTATGTATACTTCAGTTAGTTCTGTTCAGTTATCTCCACAGTGTTATTAATTGTATCTTCTTGTGATGTTTGTTTATTTGTTTTAATTATAAGCTGTAACATCCTTCCTTTTTGACCACAGGCTGATGAACTGGTAATATAATTCTGCTGTTTGAGTGTGTGTGTTTGGGTAAAAGGCCAACATTTTGATGATTTTAGCAGGAGAAAAGGTCATATTCTAAGCCCATGGACGATTAGGGATATAAAATTTGAGATAAAATGTTTATCTGTAATTGTACATGATTTATGAAGTTGTTCCTGTACTATCAGAAGGCTTGATATAGTTGAACATGGAATAGATTCCCTGTTTACGGCATTCCTAAATTTGGTAAGGCTAAATATGTTGATTATTCTATTTTAATTAAATTATTTTTTTAATTGTTTCGTGGAGCGTTACGATGGGGAGGCAATTCTTTATCATTCTCATCAAGTACCCTGTTGTTGGGAGGATTTGTAGGGGAAAGGAAAACTAATAAATGTTGGCCAAAGTTTTGTGTTTTGTGTTGACAGAAGTGGACACAAACCCCATTGTGTGTCTGTTTTGTGTGTTTACACCAATATATACACATGCTAATTATGTGTGTCTTGCACTGTTGTCATGTGTTGTCATGAGTTTTGTATTTGCACCAAACACTTGTTTGATCTGGGAACAAATATTAACCTATCCATACATTTTAAGTTATCACTTTATGATATATTTGTCATGGTCTGTTCAGATCATCTTTCTGCTGTACTACAAATGTCCGTGTATTTGTTGGTACAAAGGAACTCATGAGCAGACGTCAAATTTTTTATCAAAAGTTTCATTCTTCAAATACATATGACAACTGTACTGGACATATATCGTTGTAATTGTTTCTGTATCAGTGACTAATCAATGTTTAAACAATGTACCACCACTGCATATAATAATGAATGTTGCATTGTGAATTGTTTGACTTGACTTCAGCTTGGATCAGGTGTGAGTTGACTAACTGAACACTCTCACCACCACCACATCTTGTTCCCAGACTTCCTTCTTCATCCTGCATGTTGCCTGTCCCTGTCTGTGATGACTCGTCACTTCTTGTTGTTCCCAGACTTCCTTCTTCATCCTGCATGTTGCCTGTCCCTGTCTGTGATGACTCGTCACTTCTTGTTGTTCCCAGACTTCCTTCTTCATCCTGCATGTTGCCTGTCCCTGTCTGTGATGACTCGTCACTTCTTGTTGATTCCTTCAGCTTCAGCTCATCTTCCATTTCATTCTGTTAACGTCTACACATTTAGATAAACATATGACGTAAAACAGGCATCTATTTTGAGAAAATATCCTGAAACATGAAATATTTATCCTTTAATTCAATGGCTGTAGAGGCACCTTCACTGTTGCAGTTGGACTAGGATATCTTGATTATTATGAATAATAACAGTCTGTATATCAGATTGAAACACTACCAGCAGCATGGACTGCTCTGTTTCAGAGGAAACATGTTTTGTGCAAACAAGATCAATGTCTGTTCATCCTTCGATGATGGTCCTTCAGTGTCCATCCGTTATTTACTGCCTGGCCATCTGTTTGTCTGACCACCAATGACTGTCTGTCCATCCGTGTGTCTGACCACCAATGACTCTCTGTCCATATGTTTGTCTGACCACCAATGACTGTCTGGCCATCTGTTTGTCTGACCACCAATGACTCTCTGTCCATCTGTTTGTCTGACCACCAATGACTCTCTGTCCATCTGTTTGTCTGACCACCAATGACTCTCTGTCCATCTGTTTGTCTGACCACCAATGACTGTCTGTCCATCTGTTTGTCTGACCACCAATGACTCTCTGTCCATCTGTTTGCCTGACCACCAATGACTGTCCATCTGTTTGTCTGACCACAAATGACTGTCTGTCCATCCGTCAACGGCTGTGCATCTGTCTCTTCATGAATCACTGACTGTCTGTCCATCCGTCAATGGCTGTGCATCTGTCTCTTCATGAATCAATGACTCTCTGTCCATCCGTCAACGACTGTGCATCTCTCTTCATGAATCAATGACTCTCTGTCCATCTGTTTGCCTGACCACCAATGACTGTTCATCTGTTTGCCTGACCACCAATGACTGTCTGTCCATCTGTTTGCCTGAATCAATGACTGTCTGACTGACCACCAATCTGTCCATCTGTTTGCCTGACCACCAATGACTGTCTGTCCATCCGTCCACGACTGTGCATCTGTCTCTTCATGAATCACTGACTGTGTGTAGACTGCACTGTGTCAGTGTCACTGTATTCTGTACTCTGTGTCACCTTTGACACTTGGCCTTGTATCCTTGCTTCTGCATGGACTGCACTGCATGGAAATGCTTCATGTACAATCATTTAATTTAATTTTTGTACAAAATACTTTTGTTAACCTCATTTGGATAATGTTGATTGATTTGGAGGTTTATTTGAATATATGGAAGTATGATTTTATTTCAAATAATTTTTCGCTAGATATTGATAATTTAGTAACATAATCTTTTCATTCTTGATCAGTCTGGACCCTTTTGCTAAGAATTTCTGAAAGGATGTCTAATGATTGTAGTACTTAAATAAGTGATCAGATTTGGTGTGTGATGCACTGTTGTACCACAGTGGGTGTTCAAGTTAGGGACTTGGCAGCAGGTGCTTGTTGTGAGAGATAGACTGGGTAGTCAAACACAGTGACTTTGTTCATAGTGTGTCTTTATTCCCTGATGGGGTGATTTGTTGTTCCTGATATCAATCACAGGTTTATCTGGCACAGTTGCAATGATAATACTAGAACATTGCCAGCTGTGGTGTAACATGACGAAAAAGAATGAACATTTGTGATAATAATGTGTGTTGTTTTATTACTTGTAATATTATATACAAAATAGTAAAAAAAACCTTAATTGCCTGGACCAGATAATCCAGGGACTGATAGAGTGAGCACCAACCCAGGCCTTCAGGGCATGATGACATGCAGTAACCTATGTCCCGAGTCAGACCACCAGTCTAATAAGTCACCTGTTTCAATCATCATTGGTGTTGGGGACCATTTCTAATCAGGAAAGTGGTTGTGATGATGATACCCTAATCGGGCGGATCAATGGTCAACCACTTCCTGATATTCTCAAGTCTGATCTGTGCTAACTTCAGTGGAGTGTCAGTAATATACGTACTGAAGACGTTGTAGACCTCTCACTTATATTTCATCATGCCTATATTGAGTTTTGAACCTGCTTGTATGGCATGGCCTTGTGTGTGCGGGTGACTCATTAACTCTGCCTCTGTGTGGACACAACACTTCTTGGCTTTGGTGTGTTTTATCTGTCATGAAATAATAACAGTATAATGACCTATGTTTGATGTCCCTAAGTGGAATGAACGTCATAAAAATCCAATCTTAGGTCCCACTTCTGCTACTGATCTAAGGAAATTCCATTATGGTGACTAACACTAGAGCAGCTTTAATTTCTTCCGACCAGTCAGAACTCTGCTTACCGAATTGGGAAAGTGACAGTTTGTGTGTGTTTATTGATCATGCAACTTAAAGAAATGAAGTCCTGTGGGACTTCAAAAAAGGTTATCAATGAGTATTCAAAATGACAGTTTCAGGCAAAATCATTGCCCAACTCTGGCTTCAATGAGGCGTATCTGTAAGGCATTCTCAGAATTCTTTTATTCAGTTTTTTAATTTTGACCCGTGTGACCAGGTCTGATGTGGAGAATGTACCTGAGTGTCTGTTTTCTGTGCAGCTGGAGAAGCAGAAGCTGGACATGCAGAAGATGATGGAGGAGCAGGTCAAGATGGCCAGGGAGCAGGTGAGACTTCAGGAACTTGTCATTCAAATAGAGATACCCACCAGTGCCATTTAGGCAAATACCTGTTTCAAGCCTAAAATTACATACACGCTTACACTTTCTTTCGCCGAAATAATATTTTTTGTTTAAGGAGACAAAAATTATTTCATAATTGCATAAAATATCACCGATCTATTTTATCTTCTATTTACATTGCGAGTCTTGTGGGAATCATAACAGAATGTCTGGCTGAAGCATTATGTTTATCAGAATGATATTTTTTGTAGCTTACTAGCTTGCCTTTTACATTGGAATAACATTGCTATTTTGTTAAGAATACCACTGGAATAGGTTTAAGGCTACTGGGGAGCACTGATCTCACGCCAGTACAAGGTCTTGGAGCTTATTCCTTATGCTTGGGATTCTGTGGTTCTTGGGCCTGACAGTACAAACTTTGTACAGCAAAATATGCTTCTCCAAACTATAAACATCAAATCAGGGAGACAGAAAGAAACAGTATTTTGTCAGGAATTTCAAATATGAAGGCAGCTGGAGAAAACTGTTTGTAGTTGTCATCCATAATATTTGCGTTTTACTTGAACACCAACTTCTATATACCTCTCAAGAAACTGTTTGAAGTTTAATATTCAAGTTAATGTAAGGCGTACCTGAAACAGTCGTACAGAGATGAGATGGTACTTGGAATGAAACTAGTTCCAAGGATGCAGCTGAAATTGCAGATGTAATGAAAGGTATTTCTGAAATAGCACTTGTAGAGCAAGTAGTTGTGTTGTTGAGTACCAGTACTGTGTGTGTTGCCAGGCTCTGAAGGAGACAAAGAAGACCAAACCAGGATCTCTGGAAGAGGATAAGGAGAAGATCAAGTTGCTCACAGACCAGAAGAAGCTTCTGGAGGATCTACTTGCTAAGGTGTGTATCATTGACATCAGACAACGTGGAACCTCATTTTCATATTTGAAAGCTGCTTGCATGGACACAGTCATGTACACTTATATTAAGTAAAGACACTATGTATGACTTGACACTCAGATGAGTGAGTGAGTGAGTTTAGTCTTATGCCANGGCTGTGCTTTAAGCAATATTCCAGCAATATCATGGCGGGGAACACCAGAAATGGGCTTCACACATTGTACTAGGGCTGTACAATATTACCGGTAAACCGGTATATATTTGTTGAGTACCTTATCTCACGATACTGATTATCAAGGTTACGATATGTTTCAGATTCTGCAATATATTTACAGGGTCATCCAGAGTTAGCTGTACCCCCTTGCATTATCTGCCCTTGATTTCCAAAGCAGGTATTTATTTATTAATATGAAAAAATGTGCTCTCATGTAAAGGTATTTAAAAGTGCCAAATATACTTTTATTTCTGTTGGTTTCATGTAACATTTTACAAGTGGGATAATCTTTATAATTTTAAACATATTGTTAATACAAAGTGCCAAATATTCTACCCAATTAACCAATTCTTCAGTAGAGGCTCTGGCTCGTGACCATTTCCGATTCCCGTTATTTTTGTTTTGTAAAGGGTTTGAATGGTTTCCTATGTGTCATTTTGGAGGAATGAAGGGACCGTTCATAATTTATGGCTTGAGGGGTGATGATGATTTTATGGAGAAGCATGTACATTTTGGAAGAATGGAGGGACCGTTCATAATTTATTGCTTGAGGGGTGATGATGATTTTGCCCTGATGATGAATCAGGGCAATATCCAGTATATATTGCAATATCCCTACATTGTACCCATGTGGGGAATAGAACTCGAGTGACAAGCAAATGCCTTAACCACTAGGCTTCCCACCACCCTACATACAGATGGCCTTGAGGGCTAGTTGACAAGCAAATGCCTTAACCATTCTGGCCTTGGGGCTAGTTACCCCACCAGGCTACCCACCGACATTCAGATGACAGAGCAATCATAGTGCTGAAACTTGTTGTCTTAGGTTGGACAGCACAGAGCAATCAAGTGCTGAAACTAGTGCTGAAACTTGTTGTCTTGGGGATTTGACAATACAAGTTATATGCCACAATATTGGTATATATACATGTAAATCAATATAAGATAAAATAAAATTAATTCTTTATTATCCCCAAGGGAAATTTGTTTTGCATTATGCAGTTCTCCAGTTTTTCTTTCATAAGCCAGCCATATATAACATTGCAAGTGATAATCATAGAACTATTGTTTAAATTAATTAAGATATATAAATGCATCAATTTAGGACACAAACATTGATATTGGCTAGAATTTGGACAGTTGGAAGACAAGTTATTCATTGAGTTTGTTGTTAATACATCTAATACTAGCTGGAACAAATGAGTGGCGAACCCTGTTTGTTCTAAACGTCGGCATATGCAGCCTGCGTCCAGAAGGTAATGATGAATATTCCAATAAAAGTTTTAAAATTTTGTTTGCCTTTTTTAAATTTGCTAAGGTATCAAGTGCCGATACTCTCGATAGGAAGCCGGGTGAAGGGTTGAGAGTTTAGGTTCAGTGTAAGGTGAAGGGTAACTGTGATACTGTAGGATACAGAGACACAACCTGGCTACCACTCCAGTGGTCTGTGTTTGGTCCAACTAAATCGATCAGTCAGGCTAGAGACATTTCAGAATCTGTGAAATAATCAAAATGCTGCCAGCCTCTTCATGACAATTTCACTCACAAGCGTGGACTCATAAACATTGTATCTGGTTTGGTTTCAATTATATACAGAATTCACCTTAAACATACTGCTAAGTGGAGCATTGAATAACAAATTAAATGCAAACATGTTGTTTTCACTTGTACATATAAAGCTTTCCATCCATAAACTTTCTATTATGTGTATCACTAAATGCCATTCAAAGAGTTTCAGATGATTGTGATGGTGCCATGTTTGCAGGAGAAGGCCAAGAACTCTAACGCCAACCAGGACTCGGTGGACGCAGAAAAACTGAAGAAGAGTGAACAAAGGATGCGAGAAGAAGTATTGAGGTCAGTAGGACGTCATACCAGTCAGTATTGAGGTCAGTAGGACATCATACCAGTCAGTATTGAGGTCAGTAGGACATCATACCAGTCAGTATTGAGGTCAGTAGGACGTCATACCAGTCAGTATTGAGGTCAGTAGGACGTCATACCAGTCAGTATTGAGGTCAGTAGGACGTCATACCAATCAGTATTGAGGTCAGTAGGACGTCATAGGACGTCATGCAGTCAGTATTGAGGTCAGTAGGACGTCATACCAGTCAGTATTGAGGTCAGTAGGACGTCATACCAGTCAGTATTGAGGTCAGTAGGTTGTCATACCAGTCAGTATTGAGGTCAGTAGGATGTCATACCAATCAGTATTGAGGTCAGTAGGACGTCATACCAATCAGTATTGAGGTCAGTAGGACGTCATACCAGTCAGTATTGAGGTCAGTAGGTTGTCATACCAATCAGTATTGAGGTCAGTAGGACACTCATACCAATCAGTATTGAGCTCAGTAACACATCATACCAATCAGTATTGAGGTCAGTACACGTCAACCAACCAGTATTGAGGTCAGTAGGACGTCATACCAATCAGTATTATGATCTCTCACCAATCAAGTATTGAGGTCAGTATTGACAGTAGGACGTCAAACCAATCAGTATTGAGGAGGTCAGCACAGTGCAGAACCAATCAGTATTGAGGGTCAGAGACTCTCAGCACATAAACCAATCAGTATTGAGGTCAGCACACAAACCAATTACCGGTAGTATTGAGGTCAGTATGACTCTCACCAATCAATATTGAGCTCAGTAACACACAAACCAATCAGTATTGAGGTCAGCACATAAACCAATTACCGGTAGTATTGAGGTCAGTAGGACTCTCACCAAACAATACTGAGCTCAGTAACACACAAACCAATCAGTATTGAGGTCAGTAGGGCATGCATTAATTATCAGCGTAATATTATTTCACTAGGTACACAGAATCACAATTTATATGTTATGGATATGCTTTTTGTCTATTCTGCATTATAATCAGTTTGTGTGTTTTTTTGTTTCAGACTGAAGAAAGAGATAGAACGTATTCACAGGACTTGGGAGAAGAAGTTTGCTATCCTACAACAGAGGTGAGTGTGTAGCGTGTATTGATCTCCTTGTGATGCAGAACACACAACCTGGGCACCAGTTATTATAGGGTGGGGCGGGGCAGAAGGAATCAGGGAAGGGTCAGTCAAATTATCACAGCCCCAAGGAGGGTAGAAAATAATGCACAAATTTGGGACAGGAAATGCAAAAAATGTACAAGGACTGGTGAGTGTCATCAAGAAATATGCCAAGCACTGTGGGAAGGTAACTATTGTCAGTATATTAGTGCTTCCAAAACCTCTGACCACCGTCCTCGTAACAAATGACTGGTCTAGACAGATACTCTGTGTGTGTGTGTGTGTGTGTGTGTGTGTGTGTGTGTGTGTGTGTGTGTGTGCGTCTGTCGTCTGTCTGTCTGAGTGAGCGTGCGCGTGCGTGCGCGCGTGCGTGTGTGAGTGAGAGAACTTATTTTCATATGCTTCCTTCATGTTCGGAAACATTAGGAGACACAATTTAAGCAGTCCATATGCTATATTACAAAGTGTAACACATTGTTGGGTTGGCCTCAAGTTCACATTTTCACCTGATATACTCTCACTCATGCTCCTTGTATCTCCTTCAGTCTACATGCCCTGAAAGATGAGAGTTACCTGCGCCAGACGATGCAGAGACAGGCTGCTACCCTCCACCAGGCCTCCGTTAGCTACACTGTGAGTACCCTACCTGTGTGCAGTAGTGTTGGGAATTGGTTAAAATCTCATAATTGATGATTGGTTCATTACTACCGATCAATCATCGAAAATAATTGGTTAGCGAAATTTGTTAAGCGTCATTTATGAAATTTGTTAATGCGCTTAAAAATAAGGAAAACAACCATGTAGTTCTTTTGGGGTGTTTTGGCAAAATTTCATATCTTTAAAGGATGACTAGTATGTTAGGAACATAAAATTTCCTGGAATCTTTAAGATAAATTCAATCATGACTTGAAACGAGCTTGTAGTGCTTACGAAATATAACAGACTAAACCAACCATGTAATCATGTTTTTAACGTTCATAAAAGTCTGCTTGGCTAGCCAATCCAGTACCATGGAGTCATTTCCAGTTTGTGTATTTCAGGTGGACACCCCAGTAGGAATCGTGCCCACAAAGACTCCCGTCAGCTCCAGGAAACATCCACTGGTGAGTGATACCGATAGGAGTAGTGCATCAGCTGGAGACGTTGCTGGAGTTGGTGACGTTGCTGGAGTTGGAGACGTTGCTGGAGTTGGAGACGTTGCTGGAGTTGGTGACGTTGCTGGAGTTGGAGACGTTGCTGGAGTTGGAGACGTTGCTGGAGCTGGAGACGTTGCTGGAGTTGGAGACGTTGCTGGAGTTGGAGGCGTTGCTGGAGTGACATTTTCCACCAGATTCATCCCAGATCGTGCTCCTTAGCCTGCCAGCACCAATGTTACACGTGCTTTGTAGTGAAACTGTCTACAGCCTGCCAGCACCAATGTTACATGTGCTTGTTTCACGACAGTGAAACTGTCTACAGCCTGCCAGCACCAATGTTACATGCTTGTGCCTCCAGCACTTTGGTGTTTTCTTCACCATCATGCTGACTCACTCAGATATGACTGAAAGCAGGGTTTTACAGGACGCATGATTCCTGACTATTGGATGCAGAAATTTGATGAAGTACCCCCAAACTAAAATCCTGTGTGTCCTTGTGGATGCCCCAGGTACCATTCCATTAGGGATTTTATGCAACAGCTGTTTAACTCTTGTATTTCAACACGGACTTAGGACAGTCATAACGCTACCATGTCTTTATAAACCTGTCATAACAGTTACATCATTCTGAGGAACAGGAAAATCTTTAGAAGAAAGGTGTTTTTGTCTGTTACAGCCTGACATTCCGCGCAGTGGCAAGTCTCAGCGGGGCGGTGGTGGCGGAGACAAAGACTACATTTCCTACACTGTGTCCGCCCCCAGCGGCAGGGGCACGGCCATGTTCTCTGTAGATGGTTAGTATTGTTATGTTATGTCCTCTTGGAGTTTATGCTGGATGAATATTTAAATGTAGTGAATTGGTCAGAGTTGCCAGGAATTCAATTAGTCCTGCCTCAAACTCAAAAGCAAAGGGTACATTTGTAGACATGTGGCTTTGTTCAAAACTCTCTGTTCACCCAGTATTGAAGGATGGTAGGATGACATGGTAATGTGACTGTTTGGGTTGTATACTTCTCAGGGAGCTGAGAATGAAAATCAAGCTCATAATGATGTGTTGATCAGGGTGAAAATGTGGCACTTTGAACATGCTTCAGGGTGGATCTGTAACACCATAAACTTGACACATTGTAACTTCTGGTTATTGGCCCACATTTTACAAAGGTAGGGGTCAAATGGCCCCTTCCAAGGATATCCTGGTTACAGCACTGAGTATCTTGTTGGCCAAAAGTGCTTGGATGTATTACATATGATTCTTAGATGATGAGTTTTAATCATTTCCCCATTGACTGTGAAGAATTTTCATTTTGAAAATCTTAAAAGTACATTTGCCTGAATGTTTTATTAACAAATTTACAGTCTTGGAAGAAAATACATAAGTAACTGATTTTACCATAGTAGCCAACTTGCTCAAACTGTCTCAGAAATATGTAATCACTTCTTGAAACGTGAAGCATTCTGGTTGTATCTTGGGATACTTGAGATTCTGGTAAAACATGATGGTGTTTACATGAAAATGGACCCTAGAGTCCTTTAGATTCACTTTAATAGTACAGGAATATAGGGACCCCTGGAATCCCCTTTGGAATCTTAACATTAAATACCCCTTGACTTTCACTTATAGTGTTGGACACTACCAAACATGCAGTGTCATCACTTTTGTTTTGCCATTGCTCAGAGGTGGCCTTAGATTTCCCTAAGAGAGACTGAGGCTGTTCAAGTTTGATGTGAAGGTTGTCAGATTATGCAGGAGATGTAACATTCTCCTCCCTCCTTCCAGAGAACCAGGTGATGTCTGATGACCAGGATATGCCAGAAGACGTCGTCCCACTCCCTGCCCCACCAGTGAGGAACCCCACCGACTGTGGAGAAAACAGCCGACCTTCAACTCAAGGTCATGTGGTTGTCCTGCCATCAGTGGAGGCTCTGTGATACTCAGTATTTATCTGTGAGATTCCGAGTCAGTTTTAAGCCGCTGTTGTGGATGTTGTTTCAGGATTGAACCAAATGGTTACATATCTAAGCTGTGCACCATGTTCGTGGTTTTGGTTGTGTTTCTAAGAAACATTTGTACTGGATCATGTTTTAAATTATTTCAGTCAGAAAACCATCCCCAGTTTTAAATGTAATATGGAAAATTGAATTTTTATAGTATTGACATATACTGAGATGTTTTTAAATTTAATGTTTAGTAAATGATCCTAATACCCAATGGGAATGTAAGTTTTCATTGAAGGCAGATTTCAACAATTGTTTTCCGTTTGATTTGTATGCTTCCATGAACGGATGCCAACTGAACACTATATATGCTGGGTATTTGACCGTGTTTCAACATGCACTGATCTTAGTGTGTGGAGTGTTGTGCCATCCACATCATGTGCTCATGTACAGTTGGTCGTCATATTGCTTTGGATTCCATTAAGTGTATTGTATCAACATTTACTCATGGTGTTTAAGACAGTTTCATTTCTTTGACTGTTGTAAGCTGACATTTAGTTGAGAAATTTCAGCAGTTTAATTTCCATGACTATTCAAGTCCGAGTTTAGTCATGAGATTTATGTCAGTTCCAACAACTGTCCAAAGTTTTCATTTAGTCAATGGAGTTTGATCAGGGTACTGTTGTACAAAGCAACCATAGCTGTATGGTGTCATAAATCTATGTTAAGGTATAGGACTTATGATCACCTTAGCGATAAGATGCTTTGTACAATGGCACCTTGTTTCACATATATCGTGGAATCATGTTAGTTAGCATATTAGTTTGATACTTCCTGATTCTCTGTGCCAGATTAGGATGGTTTTGTTGTATGGAACCCATGTTCTTTATACCAATCAGCATTTTTATCGCCTTCATCTGATACCAAACCTTTAGACACAATGTTGTCTGTTAAATATACACGAATGTCATCTCCGTCCATTTATTACATATATATTTTGTACATGAATTATTTTTAGAATTGTGATATACGGTACCGGGAAGTATTGTAAGTATCAAGCGATGTCCATTGGAAGAGTTTTGTTGTCTGTTCTTCGGTCTTGCCCAGTCATTGAGTAAGATGTGATATTCGCTGTAACAAAAGCTTTACTTTATTAATGTACTCGTTACAGGTACATTCTACCTGGTTACCTGTAGAAGGGATCTGAACAAGTAAACTTAGGTTTAGCCCAAGAACGTCTTTGAAATTCTGTATGCATGTGTTGTGTTTTAACAAAGAGGAGAGTTGTGTGGTTAAAGTGTTTGCTTCATGTAAAAGTCCCTTCTTCAATTGCCCATATGAGTAAAATGTATGAAGTGCATTTGTTGTTTCCCTACCATGATATTGCTAGAATATTAAATATTAGAATGTTAAAAGTGGCTTAAAACCACAAACGCTTTCTCTGTTTAACTTGAAGGAAAAAGTTTAGTAAGAAAGTGACATTTCCGACTGACTAACAACTTATTGAAATCTTTGAAAGTGTATATGTACTTGAGACAATGAAGTAATGTTTTACAGGTATACTACTTCAAAGTTTGTATATTGTCCTGGATGCAGCTGTACAAAATGACCTTTGTGCTAAGATGATCATAACTCAGATACGTAAGATATGCTACAGCACTGTAGCACTAAGTTTACTTTGTACAATGGCACTCTGGTTTAGAAGAACTTCAATGTCTGACCCCAGTACAGGTAATGCTTACAGTGAAGGTAGGCCTGTACTATGGCTTACTCTGTATGAAGAAGTCATTATTGTTGCAGTTGACGCTGAGCCAGGAATTCACTGCCCGTTCAAAACAAAATTTAAGTTAAACTGGCACCACTATGGGTCATGATGCCAAATGATATATCAGCCATGGTATAGTTTAAGTAAATCAACTGGATCTCTGTATTTGAGTGATTTTGCCAGAGAATAGTCCCCAGTGTTGATTATAATGGTTACTGGATGGTTACTATAGGTGGCCACTTACATTCTTGATCACTGGTTTGTGTGGTCCGGAGTTGATCAAACAGACTGCTGTAATGTAGCTGTGATACTGCTGGCTGACAACAGTCCACCATCTACCAGCGTGGGGAGTTGCTGGTACACACTGCTGACATACATACACTATGATTCCATGTGTATGCAATTTGTTGCCAAAATGAACTGTTGTGTCCCTGAAGCTGTGATAATACAGAACTATTTATTGTACACTATGGGTGTTTTCCCCACAATAAACATTGACTAGATCGGTGCGTCTTGTTTCTTTATTTGTTGCTTCATGTCTGTATGATCATGATTAGTTGAAGGAGGACAGCATCTTGTACTTGGAGTAGTATCAACCTCATATATCTGCCTCCAGCAGCAAGTTGTGGCAATTCATTCACACAGTCCATTCAACAAATTATACATACTTATCATTTTCTTTCACTTTTGAAATGTCTACACATTTTGTTAACATGCGTCATGAAAATATTTGCATTATGAAAATATTACCAATGTAAAAACCTATTTCCATTTGCGTCTTCAGTTCATATACCTCATCATTCCACATGCACATGCACATGCCTTTTGGATAAGCTATCGACATGATCATTTTGTTTCACTTTTTATCTTGGTACCCACCAAAATACGAAAATCTGCAATAAATGCATCACAAACTTCAGGAAACAAAACTGAAACATTTTGTGTGTTTGAAATAGGCAGAAGTCCCCAAGAATCAAACTTGGATATTAAAGTGCACAAAAAAGCCATTTGAAACTACAATCGTTTGTTATAGTGACTCCCCCTTCTTGTTTACTGAAGGAGCTTGTTGTTTTGGAGACACGACCCACCCTCTTTCAGATGACGTAATCATAAGGACTTAACTTATTCTAATGTTTTCACTTATTCATACATGATGCCAAGGGTTGAAACTAAACACTGAATGGTCACAGAAATGTCAGCTCTCAATATATTGTAAACAGTGTCAGCTCGAATATCTGGACACACTGTTTTTGAAAGATTAAAATGGGGGTGTCCTTAAAAAAACAGTCCCCATCTAAATATAAATCAAGCAATCCAAATCTTTGAATGTTGATTATAATGGATTGTCATCCAATATTGTACTGAACATATTTTATATGATATTATCTGAGGGTATACCATTATCCAAGAGGTACCAAATGACAGATCGTTTTTCATTTTCTGCAATTTTTTAAGAAATATTATACCCCGATGTGTTGTGATGACTAATATCCCGTTAACCACATTACCCACATATGTGACATTTTGGATATGGCTTTGCTAATGATTCCTTCAAAATAAGATGGAAGCTTTTCAAACATTGGTTAACGAGAATATAGTTAGGCTGACTACTTTTTGAACGCCCCTCGTAACAACTTTAATTCATTGGCAAGATTTTGATGTTCATCCCATGACTGGTCTTATGACAGAATATACTGCCTCCCACTTCCTCAGTTTTATGAAAGACTTTTCCATACTACCCCACCCCAACACCCTGGTGTCACAAAAAAAGGTTCAAACTTACGAATTTTTAAGTTGAAAAAAGAAAACTGTTTCATATTCCAGGTATATGACAGCAATATAAAACTGTGTCATATTCCAGGTATATGACAGCAATATAAAACTGAGTCTAGACAGACAAACCAATGACTGATGTCATGGACGATTTCTTTTGCTTGCCAGTAATGATCCACAAGGTAACATCTTGATCACCAAAAGAAAAAGACACATGCTGTTCTCATTTCCACATTTGTTATTCTCAACTTTTGATTGACAAAATTTGTGTGAATCTATGTCATTTACATCATATTGTAACAAACAGCTATTACAAGCTGCAGGGACAAAATGGCCATTACTGGCTACATTGGGCAAAACAGATGACCTTTCAACAGTTGTTGAACAAAACAGTGCCACGACTACATAAGCAAGGGCATGACAGACATTTGCATAATCAACAGAAGTGAAATCGCTTCTTTCCAGAGAAATATTGACATATACAAGCCGTATCAAACAGAAGTGATTTATGTCTCACCTAGCTGATCAAAACTGGGCAACATTTCAAAATGTACAGATTGTGCATCCACTGATAAAGGCCAAACATGCAGGTAAGAAATCAAATATAATGTGTCAGTTTTTAAAATATCTGACTGATCCGATAATTATTTGTTCTAAATTGCAATAGACAAAAACACAGACAGAAAACAAACATTAAATATATCCAAATAAAAATATCACTTGATATTTCAGAAACAAGTTCTATTTGGACCAACCTGCTGCTTTAATTAGACATTGGATTGTTAACAAAATTAGCTAATTTTTTTTTTTTTAAAGATATCACTGACACTATATTTTTGGTCTAAAAATCTGTAAAACTAACATGTAATGTGTATCCTCAGTGTGCTATGTTTATGAAATCATAAAATTGGGTAACAGCATAGCGTATTCCTTAATGTGTGTGTTCCTGCTATAAGTTGCTCCCACTAACCTTGACCTAGGGTTGCTTCACATGACCTAATGCAACACATCCAGGTGCTGACAGCATGTGGGGAACCACCAACGAAAAGTTGGCATTCAAGTAGTGAGCGAGTATAGTTTTATGCAATATTTAGCAATATATCAGCAATATCACGGCAGGAGACACCAGAAATGGGCTTCACACATTGGACCAATGTGGGGAATCAAACCCGGGTCCTCAGCGTGACCAGCAAATGCTTTAACCACTAGACTACCCCACCGCAGTCAACTAGAAACCATAACACAAGTACTACTACGAACATTAAGTCTATATAAAGAAGCAGGAGTTACGAAAGTCATTGTTTTATGAACTCCTTGTGCAACAGGGTCCTGGCCTGCTTCTCACAGTATTCTCTGCACTAAGACTCCCAAAATGTCTTTGAACAGTATTTAGAGTGAGCGAGTGAGTTTAGTTCTACACAGCTTTTAGCATTATTGAAGCCCATATTCTGCGGGGACACCAGATATGTTGCTGGAATATTGTACCCATAAAACCAAACTCAGTCAGTCTGCACTAAGACTCCCAACATGTGTTTGAACAGTATTTAGAGGTGATACACATAAAGGATGAGAATGTATGGATGTCAACTTCTTTATTAACAGGAACATATCATTTCAGAGTGTGTTCCTACTTCTTCACCTGGAGGAGTAAGAATATACTCCAAAACATCATGTTCCTCAGGATAAAGAGTGAGTGAGTGAATGTGTTTTCACGCCGCTTTTAGCAATATTCCAGCAGCATCATGGCATGGGACACCAGAAATGAGCTTCACACATTGTGCCCGTGTGGGGAATCGAACCCAGGCCTTCAGCATGACGAGCGAACGCTTTAACCACTAGGCTACCCCATCATAATAAAGAAGTTGACATTAATAAATTCTCACCCTTCATAATTCCCATACTTTATCTTAAGACTTACTGTCATGGAAGTACAATTGCTTTGTGAAACAGGCTCTAGGTTCTATAGCAGCTTTGCATCCATTTCGTTGTTCAAACATTACAGTGGGCTATTACATGTTTGACTAATCTGGGACACATAAGTTGTGTCATAAGGCAAAGTCTATGCAAAGTTGGTTGGTTTGTTGTTTAACGCCACACTCAGCAATATTTCAGCTATATGGCGGCGGTCTGTAAATAATCAAGTCTGGACCAGACAATCCAGTGATCAACATCATGAGCATCGATCTACGCAATTGGGAAACAATGATGTGTCAACCAAGTCAGTGAGCCTGACCAGCCAATCCTCTAACGACAAGCATGGGTTGGTGAAGACCAATTCTAACCCAGATCTTCATCGGTTGCTATACACAGTAAACTTTCTCCAAGCCAACAAACACTGACTGTGTAAGTCACCAACACACAAGCTTTTGCATATGATAACATGGTACTCTTGGGACCCTTCTGTTCAAACTGATACCAGGTGATTCAAAACAGATCAACATACCTGCCCAAATAGAGTTCATCACAAATACATGAAAAGGCATGTCAATTGTTCACCTGATGACACACAAGAACATGTGGTACAAGTCAAAGTAGAGAATAGCATTGGACATCCTTTCAGCACTGTGTCACACTGGAAATATCCTCCCACATATACCCTAAACCTTCAGTGAGGGACCATGTTTGGGAACAGTCACCTGAAGAACACTCAATACTAGGACCATCAGGGGCCACAGGAAGCTGCTTATAGGGACAAGGGGCTGTTGAGGCTGGTTTGGGGTTTGAGCTTGTGGTGTCCTCATGCCAACCTCCGTGTATATTTGTAGATACAACTGAGAGCAAGGTAGGATTTATTACTCTTTTAGCACATTATTGCTTTATCAGTGAGTGAGCGAGTTCATTTTAACACCGCTTTTAGGAATCTTCCATCAATATTACGGTGGGGGACAACAAAAATGGGCTTCACATATTGTACCCACATGGGAAATCGGTGACGAGCTAACGCTTTAACCACTAGGCTACGCCACCACCGCTCTTGTTATATCATGGCAGGACAACAGAAAGGCTTCACATGTTATGCCCATGAAGAAATCAAACCTGGATCTTTATCATGATTAGGATACCGCACCTGTTGACAACAGGAGGAAGCTCCACATTCTCAGAGTGAGTGAGGATGGTTTTATACCACTTTCCCCCACATTCCAGCAACATCGGGGCGGTGGGGTAGCCTAATGGTTAAAGCGTTGGCTCGTCCGCGAAGACCAGATTCCCCACATGGGTACTGCGAAGCCTATTTCTGGTGTCCCCGCCGTGATGTTGCTGGAATATTGGTCTTTGGATAGTCAGTCAGTCAGTCAGTCCAGCAACATCACAGCAGGGGGCCACCAGAAATGGGCTTCATGCATTGTACTCATGTTGGAACCTGGGTCTTCGGAATGATGAGCATATGCCATAATTTTGGGTGGGCGAGTGAGTGAACAGTTGGTAAACTTAAGCCCTCAGTGCCTAGGTTGTTGAACTAAGCCATTTCAGAAAGTAGATATCTGTATAGCTATGCCAATGAATATAATCAGAATTAGGTCAAATGTTTACTCACATCTCAATGTTGAGGAAAGTTTTAATGGCACATTCACACACTGTGGGTGGGTAGAATGGACTGGCATGGAAGAGTTCAAGCACCAAAGAGAAAACAGAACTGCAAGATTCTGTAGCTCACCTTCATTTCTCTGAATTCTTCACATTCTTAACTGTGACTGAGGCATATACGTGCTCTCCGTGGGGGTGCATTTAT